TCTCTAAAGTACCTAGACTAATACATTAGCACAATAAACTATCTCAGTAGAGCTCTTCAATTTCTTCATCACTAGCTTTAGTAATTGTATATATTTTAATGATAGTTGTACTGGTTGGATATCCTTGAATGCAGATAAGATTTAATCCCATCATACACAGTATTGTACTTCAAGATAGATCTTGAAATGTCCTTTTTGACAATAGATGCAATGCCATTCATCTTGATTGTTTCATTCCCAGCATAATAAACCATATGATTTTCTGATTCAAAAGAGCCAATACTCATCGATTTCAGCTCACTAGCACCTTCATTTTTGGCAACTTCCAATTCTCCTAGATTCATACTTCGCACATTCCAAGTTCTGATTATTAGTAGATTTTTTGTAGCTGTTTTTCTTCATCCTTAGCCATTCCCCATTAGCAAACAAAGGTCCCAAAGGCTTTCCTTTCACTGGCTTTAATTCATTTTTGTCATTGTGGTTGACTTTATTTTGGGACGGCAGTTCTTCCTCACTCATATTTTGAGTGCCTTCTGACCTGAGGAGCTCATCTTCTGGCACTATCTCCAACAATGTTCTACTTCTATTCATTAGGCCATCAGTATTTGACAATGTTTTTACACTATACATAGATTTTAAGCTGCTAATTCTTCTAAATTAGACAGCGATTGCTTCTTCGGAATCTGTTTTGAGTCTGGAAGCCCTGCTGAAATCTGTTCACTTTGGGTGATCCTGCTGGCATTTGAAATATTAGTGACATAGCATCCAACACCACAGAAACACACAAGCCACCACAGCACAACAAACCGATAGCTAAGTAGTGAGAAATTTCACTAAGAAACTATAAAAACTTATGAACAGGTTATTTCTTAGCATCTTGCTTTCTAATTCAGTTAGAGTAAACTGACAACACATACTCAAAATCATGTCCTTGCTTACTTTGAGTACTGACAGAGGAACCAGTGAAATCACAGCAAAATCTCAGTAAGTGGGTATCCTTCAGAAAATCAAGAGTGATGATAGGTATTTCCACCATGAATCTGTATCAGCCATTCTTAATTAACGTGTTCATCGGCTGTGTCACCTGCTTGCCTTTCCCAAATTACATATGCCTGCTACCCACCTTGAAACATTCTGAGAAGTTTGGAACCAGCTACATAATCTTCTGGGACAAATGAAAATGTGGAACCCTTTATTAAATATTACAAGAATTTCAAAACATTGACAAGAGCAATAAGATAAGCACAAGTCCTTCAGATTGCAGGGCCATGAACAAGTGGCAAGGTCACACAACCATGAAGCCTGCTCTGAGACTATCATGTTCATCCTGAAAAGTGTGCCTCAAATGACACAGTAATGATACTCTCCCTAATGTCTATGCCTCACCGCTCAATTCCCTGAAATGTCTGATTTGAGGACTGGAGGCCTCAGGGCCCTAGAAGAATTCTGCAGGATTACTTACCTATCATTCCACTACACACACTGCCATATTATATTACTCTTTGTGTTTTAAAACTATATGTTTGATTTCAAAAATGGTTTATTTTTATGATTGCCTTTAGCTTTAAAAAAAATTTAAGCCAATTGCCATCAAGTTAACACTGACCCTGTGTTTGTCAGAATAGAACTGTGCTCCCTAGGGTTTTCAAATGTTCATTTTATGGAAATCGATTGCCTTGCTTTTCTCCCAAGGATCCTCTGGGTAGACTCAGACCTCCAACTTTTTTGTTACCAGTCAAGCATATTAACAATTTGTACCACCCACGTACTCCTCAAAAGCCGCCAAGTCACCAGTTGGTAATGGAGTTGGAAGACAGATACAGTAGGTAAGCTCATTGGCCTAGATTCTATGTGTGTAAGGCAGATACTTGAGAGAAGTTGTGCAAGTTTATGATGACCTGGTCTCTGAGGAGAGAAACAAAATAAATGAAGACCTAATTCCTTTGATCAACAATCTTATAGTCTAGCAAGAGCAGCAGCTGAAGCATACAAAGAAGGCCAAAATAAAGGGACCATATCCTATCATACCATAAGACTTGAAATAAATCCAAAGTAAATGAAATAAAACTCAGAAGAGCTAGAAGGAGTCAAGCTGTATTGTGACTTTTTAATCTGGCAGCTTCTTGCTTACCAAGTGTTCTGGTGAAAGAAAGTATAAGGCCAACATGATCACTGCTTGTCTAAAGGCAGCAGATGGTGAATCCATCTGGAACCCTGGTTGCAAGCCCAGCAACTGGCATGCACATTTACATTCCTTCTGTTTCACATCTGAATTGTCTCCTGGGCCAAGACACTGAAACAGGCCCCAGGGTGCTTCAAGAATGTGCACATCCCACCTCCCCCTTTGTGGTATGTTTGTGGAATTTAGTGGGTGTTGCTTCATTTAGGTCACAATAACCCTCTGAATTTGATAAAATCATTACCACCATTTCACAGGCAAGTATATTGAGGTGTGGAGTGGTGAAGTGGTGAAAGAGTTAGCCCGTTCATAGTCAAAATACTAGACATACATAGTTTTAGATTTAGTTTGTCTAAAAAATCCAAAATATAGCAGCCCTTCCCTTGCAGTAAAAATTCCTTTTAAGCTTAACTCAGGAAAGAGGCAAGTATGGCCATTTAAATAAACAATGTAGCATAAGACTTTAGGGGTTGGTGGTCTGAGATTGGTGATCTGATAAGCCCCTGGAGAAACAAGGATTGTTTGCTGTTAAAGCATTCTTCTTTTGTCCCATTGTTTGGGGTCCTGTGATTATTGCAAAACCTGCTAATTATTTACTTGGACCATTGCGCAACTTGTTTGTTTTATCACATTGTTTAAGGTATATTTCTTACTTGATTTTCACTGAATCTTTGAATCATTTTGGAGGTAGCAAACCACAGTATTTCCTTTTGCTTTGCACTTGCACAAAACAATTTAGAGTTTCTTGAATTAATCTTGTCTGTTTTTGGTTGAAATAGAGAGAGGCAACCCCAGACTATTGTTTGCATCATATTGGTGACCACTAATGGATTCCATGAGGCCTTCCAGGTAGTTCGGAAAACTCATTTAAGGAACCTTCCTTGCTGGGGAGTCCTGTGAATTGTCTGAACAAGGAAGACTTTAAGTGGAAGTACCAGAAACCACTAGAGATCACCGAAGGTCTATTTCCTTCTAGAGCTTCTAGAAGGAAATTCACCATCACCATCCCCATTACCTTCACTTCCAGATTTGAAAACTCTAGTTTCTGGACCTATCTGGTGGGTGCACATCATATTGTAAGTCCCTGTAAAGTGGCAACTCCTAGGGTTTAACAGTTTGTATCTGCAGCTGTGTCTGGGAGGTCTCTAAACTTGTAATCTGAAAATGTGGTTGCATGTAATGAGCTCCAAATTATATGTCCAGGAGGAAAGCCCTCTAGGGCATTTTCTGTCCAGATGGTCTTCTGTGATTCATACATTTGGGT